TTCTCGGAAGACGACGACGTATCGCCGTGTCGTTCGCAATGCGCGAAAAGTATGTATGAGAAAAGTTGCAGATGCCGTCGTGAAACGTAGTTGCATACGGAATCCTCGATAAATCGCGCGCTACACTGCACACCCGGTCAAATCGAAAAGAAAAGCAATTTGCATTTCGTTTTCCGTGTCATTTCACCTGCTTCGAGACGCGAATCTTGACAGCTGTAGCGAATAGGGTCGCATTCCACTGTTGTCGATGGAATGTCAATCTCTTTATAGACAAATTGCGGCGCGAAAAAGCGGTAAAGAAATTATACCCGTAAAAATTTTATGTTAAACAATGAAAACATCACTAGTCCTTACTATTCGTTTCGATAATTTTATAAATTCAGCAAATCTTATAATCGCACACTATGGAAATACTGTATTAATAAATTCTGCTAAATATGGAAAGATTTACGCGGAAATAATATGCTATACATTTGAAATGAAATAATTACGTCTAGTAACCGTCGCGTTACCGTGCCTTCAGTGTGGTCTCGTTTCTTTTTATCGCTGACACAATCTTAAACTGGGGAAAGATTAAGTTTTTTTTTTGGAATTCAGAGAAATAGCTCGGTGATTCACTCTGCTGTATCTACTGCTTCTTCGTTATCTTTCGGGCGATTAGTCATTGGTACTTGGATGCAGGTACAAGACCTGACGGAATAAAAAGTCGCAAACAGTGTGCTCTTTGCGATGAGAAACTTTCTATTTTATACACGCAAATCGAAACGCTTTAAGAGAGATTCGTCAACAAAACGTACGATTGTAGAATTTATCAACTTGCAAAAATTTAAAAAATTTTTTTAAGTATTTACTGGCCGCAGACTGGAAGTCAGGCTTAAGGCATCGCCGCCAGGAGCCGTTATTACACTTCGCCGTATTCTCGCCCACAAAGTTCGGTTGACAAATGACAAGGTCCTGATAAAGCGGCCACTTTGGCCCTCGTTGAACTGACCGTTTCGATTCGTCGGCCAAAGAACTGCGCGAAGGCTGAGAGATTTGCAGGCATTCATGACGAGCGCATGGGAGAACGTAGAGATGCAAGAAGCCATACAAATGGACTGCGGTGCTTTCTTCTTTTTTTTATTTTTGCCATAAATCTTCCTCTATTCTGCTGGCGACCGTACCACGGAACTATCTTCCGTTCGTCGTGAGGGCTCGAAGGGTGACGGGAGCACGCGTTTATCATGTCCACGTATTGTAGGTGAATCTTCTCTGCGCTCGGCGTAGAAACGAGAGTCATTCCGTTTAAGAACGCGATCACGGAAACAAGTTTACTAATAAAACGACGAGGGTGTGGTAATGAAGAGTCCCGCGAGTAAACATCGTGATTCAGCTTAAATGTCTGCGTTTCTACTTCTCACGCGCGAATTGTTCTCATTAACCCTTTCAAGATACTTTTTTCCTGTTTGAAATTTATATTTTGTAATTGTAATCTCACAAACGTTGGATTCTTTTTTAAAATACAGATATATGTGTTAAAAATGCGCGAAAACAATCTAAAAAATATTTTAGCCCTTGAAAAGGGCATTTTTACCGCGTAACTTTAACGACTCCTAAAACTATCTGAATTTACTTAATCTTTTTATCCGCGAGGACACTTTGTCGGACGTCAAAATTTTAATCGTGGACATCAGTCAGCGTTTTCGCGCGAATACTAACCAGCGTTTTCGAAGGAACTGGAGAATATAATTCATCGTCTGCGTTGACTTAATTGAAATCCATCTCGTCGCGCGTTCTCGCTCGCGCTGCGTAAACGTATCAGCGAGCATTACGGGCTTGCTCGCGCGTCGAGGAGTGGCATTAAATCTCGCGGTAGAAATTAAATTTCGCGCAGTCTCTTGGTAGACGTCCACGGAGATGGCGACCGAAATTCGTCTTTGTTATTTCCGCGTCGACGCGAAATTAAGTCAGAACTGTCGGCCTGAGGAATGTGAAACATCACATTAGCAAGAATAAAACATATTTGCTGCACGTAGGCACGCGTTAAAGAAACAATGGAGAATAGCACTAAATATATTTCGAGTATTTTGATACTCGCGTGGTCACTCTCGCGTCTTATTGTTAGTCTATCATTTAAACACAAAGCTGGCGGCTTTGAAACAAACGAATTTTATTATAGCATACGGAAGGACAACTTATTTGTTCATTCATCTGTTTAATTAAACACAGGCGTAGAAAATGAAACTTAAATAGCTCATTTTTTATCTGAAATGTTTTATTTAGAAATGAAGCACATACGCGGAACGTTAAATAAGATAATCTACATTTTTCTCGCGCTTTCGGTAATTAATAGCGAATAAATAAAACGGGGAACGATGGGGATGTTACTTTGCTCGGCAGTGAGGTAAATGGCGGTAATCTCGTGAATCTCGGGAGGACGAGCGTGCTTAAACGTACGAAGGCACTCGAGCCGCGCCCAAATTAGCGAATGCCCCGCGAACCGTCTGGTCAGCCGGAAAAGAGATTAATTTAATTTGCATTTAATCAGTGCGCAATCTCCTATATGAATATTCAAAGCATTCCTTCCCTCCGCAATGTTTCGCCCACTCTTCCAGGAGCAAAACACAGGATCCGCTCTGGCATTCATCGACGTGTATTTTGCTGCATTGTCGCGTTTCTTGTCGTTCATTTACCCTACCTTTCGCCCCTGATTGTTTATTCGTGCGATCGTAGCCGTAGGGGCGCACTGTAAATCTGCGCTGCATGAATACGGGGAAGCGCAATTTGGACCTAGTCAAAGGTGTGCGATTGCGCTTTGCAATTTTTGCATGGAATTCCTCTTTTATCGCCGATGCACGGTACAGTTTTATACAGTCTTTGTGCCAGCCGATAAAGTTATTGTCGCTCGGAACGTTGTAACGATGTAAACGGTAAAATAATGAATACGCGCAATATAAAACGTGAATGACAGATGTTTCACCTGCATTTCATTTAATCATTTTTATAAAAATTAATTGCAATGTCAATTATCGAAATTATTTTGCGCAAATGCTAAAAGAAATATTTGTTGGTCTCCGCGAGCGTAATAAACCGCGACAACGCGAACCCTAATTCGCACTTGATACGAAAGGGGGGAGCGAAACCGCGTCCACTTTGTAGTTGACTGTAACTTGTTTTACGGTACGAGTACTGGGGATAAAAGAAGGCGAGCAACTTCGACGTTCACTTCCGTGCCCGACTGAGCCTTCGGGAAAGCGCATCCTCTTAGTACTACGTAAAATATTCACGAGAATCTCCGTTTAAGCGTTGCGTTGCCGAGAGTCACCGCGAGGATCCCCGGCGAGTCGGTACCCTCTTCGACCTCACCTGGTAACGTCGTCTCTGGAGAAACGTGCCGCCACCGTTGCCTACACAGCAACTTTAAAGACAAAGGGCTCGTTAAGATTTGTCGCGTTCAAAATCAGTACGTCCACAGTTAGAGGAGCCGGTTTTCTTAATCCACCGTCATGATTTATGATTAAAGCCAACGGCACACGATACTATTTTTCCTGGATTGCTTACGAAAACCAATAAGGACGCAGAGTTTTAGATCAGGTGACTTAAAGCTAAATCCTGATTTGTTCTCGTAAGCGATTCAGTAGGAAAAATAGTATCGTTTGCTGTTGACTTTAATCTTAAGAAAGATGGTGTTTATATCTCTTGGGTATTGCTTTCTGAAATATGAAAGCGCAATTCTCGAGGCGTGAGTGTATAAATCTCGGATTTCTTAAATTTTCAGAGTAAATTCTGCTTGAATGCTGATAGAAATAGTTGTAAAATAAATTAACGCTGCAATTTACGATTTACACTGAAAAAATGTATATTGATACCGAAGCGATATTTAATTTTAACGTTTTGTGAATATTAAATGTCACAGTCTCGGGTAACAGTGCGAAACGCATGCGAAGTTTATTGCGTTCATTTTTGTTTCCTCATTTAACTTTACAAAATTTTACAAAACTTTGTTATCTCGTCGCAATTGGAGTGACAAAGCCGTCGAGCTCCTCCGTATCTTCGTCGATTTTATGAGAAGCAATATCCTCCCAATGCTGTTCTTTGAAGCCATCGGTACTTTGGTCGATCCAATCAGCAGTACGAACTCCAGTGCGGAAATCAGCAAGACCCACAGAGCCGAGTAGCGTGTTCAGCCCCGGCAGGCCGCTGTCGTAAGTCGAGGGCAACGCGTCAATATATCCGTTAGCTATCGACACGTCGTCGTATGGCAGCTCCGGTGAATTAGGCCGGAACTGTTCGAGGTGAACACCATAATCGTTGTAATCGATATATTCCCCATTTCGTTTCACCGAGTTATCCCATGGTCCGTAGAAACTGCGTCTTCCGACGTCTTGCCAGACAGTTCTGTGCCCTGAATCACCATTGCAAACGTTCTCGTTAGTTGAGAGATGGAATAATTATTTTCCCTTTCCCCGCGATAATTTGCAAATAATTGCACAAATATTTGAAAAGTTCTATAACGTTAGCGTATCCCACGTTTGGAATTTCGGATAGTAGTTGATAGTATTCTGGCTCTTTTCCAAAGAGTTGTACAACTCTTCTTTACGGTATCGTTTCAGACATCTAACTCGGAAGTTTACCTACCTAATTGAAAATCGCTTACGGGTGCTGGCGTGACTTCGATCGTCACTATTAGAGCGAGAACGATATGAAAACGACTGCGGTGTTCCATTGATAATTGACGCTCTGCTACTTCTCAGTTTCCAGCTGACACTGGCCTTTAGTATTTCGCACACTCGCTTATATATACTGCTGCAACGTAAGCAAATGTTTGACCGTGTGTTTAGCAGGCGATGAAGTCCTTGCAGCAGTTGTAGCCTTCCGTAGCAACTAATTGAATACTAATTATTGTTTATCCACTCATTGAGATAATCTTCTTAAGTCAACTCGGATGGCGGAAATCTTCGAGATTATTATAGTTTTTGAGAATTGCGAAATGTATCGCCAGAGATACCAAAACGCAAGTGTTGCTATGCTTTATCGTATTTATTTAATAACAAAATGTGCTTACAATACCAAGGGATATACGGGGGTCACTTGTATTTTTGTGACTTTTATTAGAAAGAAAAACAAAATTGCTTACATGTTAAAAGTAATAAGAAGATAGAAAATAATACATTATATAAGCTCTTAAATAATAGATACCATACAAAAGTTATATAAAAGTAAGATGTAGCTTGTTAGCTCGAGTTAGTAAAGTTCTCTGGACATTCGCGCCTGGATGTTCTAACTGCCTCCCCTTAACAATCTCTTTTAACGACCCCAGCCGGCGCTATGAAAAGAAATAATTTTTTTTCATGTTAGTCGCTTCATTGTACTTGTGTTTAACTTAAACGCTCACTTTTTGTGCCTTTGTAACTTAAACCTGCCAGGTCTGACATCTTTTTAATTAAATGCTTTACGTGCTTGTTTTGCATGTAATGCTTATTACGAGAACTAAAAATGCAATGAAGCAGAAGTTTACGGATTCCATAAGAAATAATAAGTTTCCACTTGACGTGTAGTCTCTTGCCATTAGTATACGCGTCTTTCTCTCGAAATAGCAGATTACGCGGTGACAATGGTTATTTTTAAACTACGGAATCGTACGGATGACACGTAATCAAAATCTAACAAAATTAACTTCAATTCAGTTCTCACCCGACATTAACGTAAGACACAGTAGATGATCTTCGCCTTCCGTCTAAAACTTGACCTCCGTTAACAATGTCATCGTCACTGTCGTAGATAGGTCTCCTGTACCAGAACAATGGAAATCCGTAGTATGCCGTGTCTCTTGCAGCTAATCCTTCTCGACCGCCTGTAAGATGAAGATTACAGCATTAATTATGCAGTATCTTCAGTTGTATTATTCGGGGTGCATCAACGCTGAAAAAATGTTCTACTCTAATATTACTCCCTAAAGTTTTGGAGTGAAAATATTTCGCACTCCGTGGTTCTGTTTTTACTCCAAAAACTTTAAAGAGTACATCAATATATACTTACGTAACAATTGCATCTAAGTTTCCATTAGTTAAAAAATTTATTTCGAAAAATAATGAAGTACTTCGGTGTCATAGTCTCTTCTTTTTACTATAAGGTTAAAATATTTGAAAATATACGCTTTTCTATTTAAATATATTAATTTTCATAGTCGCAAGATTTCTTCACAGAAAGTATTCCCAGAAATGTTACGCGTCACAATTTTCCAATTACAAATTTTGCAAATCTAATTCGAAAATTAAAGTTGCCGCTTTGTATACATATAATTGGTAATCGGACCAAGTTGTGGCTAACTCACCATCGTCAAATTGAGGAAATGGCACAGCGTTAACGAAGTCAAACACCACGAAAACAATTGCGAGGTACGTCGCGAATCTCATTGCGCTGCGCCGGACATAAATCGTACTTAATAGGCGCTGAAGTTCGGTCTGAATTACTGCGCGACATTTTACGTTCTTATATATACACACTCTCATCTTACGACCCCTCTTGGTTTTTTAATCAAATAATGAGTGAACCGTTAATTCGAAGACATGACTCGAGTGACTAATCTCGCTAACAAAGTTGGCAAACGGTATAGCGTTCTCTGGTCGGCGCATTCGTTGTTTGTTACGCATCAGCCCGAACACTTTGAGAGGAATTTCGCACATCTTTGTTGGCAAACGACACTGCTAACGATGACTTCATTGTTATTCGGATATTTTTCTACGTTTCAATGAATCACAATACGCGCTCGGGAACCAAAGCGTAATTTCCCATCGTGTCTTTTATTTATTCGCGATGTTCAAATATGATACTCTTTCAATGGGCTGGTAGCTGAAATGCGCAATTGGGACCTATGTAAATTACGAATGCTTTTTTTCATCGACGCTTACATAATTTCCCAGGAGAGTCGAGTGTGCTGCACGAGTCGCGCGAACAGAACGCCCGCCTGTGTCGGGGTTTCTCGTGTATTTGCGCGATCGGATGCGAAACCCCTTATCGATCGTCTCGCCCTTCTGAAACAGCGTCGCCGTAGTTTAAAGTACTCCGCTGGATGTGAGACGGAACCCCAGGACTCTCGAGTAACAATCGTTCGATCGAATTAAGATTTAACAAGAGCATTGTCCGCGGCGAAACAAGCGTCTTGCCGAAGTTTCTGTCCGCAAACGCGTGTCTTTGTATGTTTAATTATTGACACGATACACTTTACTAGCCGTGTACACGTTATTGCGTTCGCACGAATCATTACGAGCCGTAAAGCGACTTCGCTTCTGTCTGACGTTTATTCCTCACGGACTGGAAACGTAGGATTAATGTCCGATCTCTCAGCGGTTCGATGAAAGTCTCGAGGGAAGCGATCAAAGATGATCTATCGCTCTGTTGAAAAGTGAGAAGTATCGTTAGGAGTCCTTCGGTTTAATCCTGTTACCGGCACGAACAATTCCGTATAACGGTTGCCATTAAGCGCCAATTAACTATAAATTGAAAAAGCAGAGTGCAATGCGTTTATTAAATCGGTCATTTTAAAACGAAAAGTGACGCTTCGCTGAACATTTAAAATATTGATATTTAAAGAGAAATAAAATATCTTCTTTTGTTAAGGTTTTTTAGGCTACTGTACGTAGCTTTCTCGTTTATACTAGTATAAGTTATTGTACGTTGCGACGTCTCGTCACTATACATTTTTCTTTATCTCTGACTTTACATCACTCATGTTACATACGATTTTTTTTACGTTAAATGTCAATGTCTTTTTATATATGATACGGTATCGATAACGATATTTCAACTATAACATAATTTGTAAGTTTTTAATGAATTTAATTAACGCATCAAAACGCATTTCGAAATTTACCAAATTGAGGCTAAACTTTTCGATAAAAGTAATTTTATCAAAATCACTATTCATATTAAATACGTATTGTTAGTAAAGTTTTTGTTATATACCAACAGAACAACTTTAAATTAAAAGTGTTTGTAGTTGGAATAATTATTTCTTCTCTTTTCCTCATTGTGCTTTTAGTAAGAAAGCTTCCTTTAACATTGCTGCACTTACTGAAATTTGATTAGCGCGAAACTTGATGAAGCAATTTATTTTCTGCCCTTAAATGATATATTTGAATGTATCTGCGTATCCTCTAAAATCGCCGGTCTATTTTAGCGAGGGATTGAAAGTTCTTTCAAGGCCATTTTCTTCGCCACTGAACTTGGAGAATGACGCTTGGTATCTCGGTATTTCGAAAATTTTTTCCAGCTGGTGGATACAAAAAGAGGGGTCTTCTTCCTCAGTGTCCGTAAAAAAAAAAATACTCACGTCATGAGATTGTCGATGGCGACCAAGGCGCTTGACGCTTCGCCGATCGATTATCGTTATTAGGTTACCGCTAACTAACGCTTTGAAGTAAACTGTGCGGCCGTGCGTCTTTATTTCTCACAAAGAATGTGTCAAGAAATACTCCCGTGAGATTTTTTCCAATTATCGCGTCACAAATATACGATGCGAAACGACGCGGCGGTATCAAGAGCTTTGTTGCATTGATAAACGTTTGTCGAGTGCGCGGAGATGGATAATGCATCGTCACGTAGCGTGAATGAACAAACCTTCATTGAATAGTTAAGATCTCGTGACGCGTTTCCGGTTGCAGAATACACCGCGTTTCGTTTGTTTTCGCCTGTTTTTGTTGTTTTATCGAGCTACAGTGGTACTCATTCTTTTTTTGTCTCGAATATTGTCAAGGTTTAACGGTATTTTTGCTGTATATTTATTATTAAAGCCGGAACGCATCGATGCATTTCTTACTCAATGTTTAATTTACGACTAGCTTCTCGTATAGTTTCATACAAAATAGAAAATTCGCTAGAGAGAAAATGTCTATTTTTAGCCCAGTGTTTATTATTTATAAGCAAGTTTTAAGTTTGCATTATTGAGACATCGACAAGATTACGCGTATGTGTTAAAACTTTTGTTTATATAAGCATCTTTAGATATCTTCAAATATATCGCGATATAAGCTTTTTAATTTTACAAATATTTAAGATAATTTTATTGCTTGAATCGCTTAAAAAAAAAGACGAATGACAGAGAATCCAGCGATAAGCTCTACTGCAGAAAGTCACGGATCATTGATCCCATAGAGAGGCGATCCTTTATACCTCGCGGATACTCGGCAAGATATATCGCTGTTATCCAATAATTCCTTTGTCGACGAGCAGGAATCACACTTCCTCTCTCAATCTTCCGTTTCTCGTAGCGTCTGAGAACTTGTTCTGTTTTCGCGATTTGACGTAGTCCGATCACGTAGCGCGTTTCCCGGGTTCTCCCCTGTCGGGGAAGCACTTCGGAGATTCGCTCGAGGTCTCGGGTGGTCCCATCAGTAATACTCTATACCGTGACATCTTCGTACTGATGAAGGCGATTTGCCAAAGAAGTGAATCACTTGGTTGACAATGGTCGTAACGGTGGATAGAAGGGTCGCTGAAAGAATCGGCGTGCGCTCCGACAATGAAGACATCGATTTCAATCGATATTATTGATTTTACCGCGGAAGAATATAGCACTCGAAAGATAATATTAATAATCGATACATGAACGAAGCAAATTATTAATGCGCGCTCTGACTTCACTGGCAGTTAAGCTTAATCGAAAGACTATACTCCAGTGTTCCTTGGCATCGATCTTGACGATAAATATATTTACCCCCATCCAAGGATGACCATCGACCAGATATCCCATGACCTTCTTCCTTGGCTCTGCTCTAATGGCGGGTGCCACTACGCTATTTGCGTCGTGTAATGCGGCTGTAGACGATCGCGGATTATTCTTAGGATCGATCGCGATGATCGGACGACATTCGTTCGGCGAGCATCGAGGCACGACGCCGCTGACCGCCGGCGCACAATCCGATCATTCGCCGGTCGGCTGATCACAGAAAGAGAGAGAGAGGGCAGCTTTCCCTCTCTCGTGAAGGGAATAGTTCACCGCGCTTAACCGTCGATAAGCGAGTGCTGCGCGTTGCGCGTTGGTCTTGGTGTGCTACCTGGAACGACGGAAGCCTAGCAAGGTGTGGTGCCGTCAGCACGTTTCAGTCCGATGTAAACACGAAGCCCAGGTCGGGCTCCAGTGCACCCAACACCGTCGACGGGAACGGCCACGCGCGATTTTCAGAGTGACCCTTTCGTCACGCGATACGGCTCACCGACCTTGCCGAGCTTGCGTTAACGATCGCGCGAAAGGATCCGCGGTCGAAATTTCATCCGACGAATCGTTATTTGGACTAACGACTATCGTGTGAATTTTGGACGATTGGAAGCCGAACAAGATGAGATTCTTGTTCGCTGTTTGCATATCAGTGTAGTGTGATATCTAGGATCTCAGAATTCTGGGCAGTTGACAAACTTTAGTAGTTAGCTGACTGATGTGAGCGCACGAAACTCGTGAGATAGACTTTGTAAATATCGCCGGACCCTTGTAAAAGATACTTAATTAATGACTTTCTGACCATTACAAGTGAGGTGGACCTTGCAAATCAATAAACTTTTAAAATTTTACGAGAGGGACTCTTTAAATAGACTTAAACTCAATTGATAATAAACAATTCTTTTTAAATTTAATCGTCCTAATTTAATATTATTTTGCAATCGACGTTTACGAACCTGATATAAGTAAAACTCCGTTTAAAGTGCACATTGAACCCATTCGACTCGTTCCAACGTGAGTGTGACACACGAACTGATTAGATAAGATTACCAGTCCTGTCGAGAACGATCTTGCGCGATACATGGATCGTCAGTGCGTTAGCTTTTTGCCACAAACTGTATTGCATCGTTAAAGTATTTGTGACTACAATAAAATATTCGATCGTGATAAGATAATTCTGTCGATATTCAAGAAACAGTGACGGTGTAGTGAGAATAACTTAAATAATCGAAATTGTGTTCAGCTGGATTTGAATTTTCACAGAGCTTCGTGCCCACGACGCGAATTTTCTAACAACTACACAGACTGAGAGAGTCTGTATCAACAGATTGCTTAGTAGGAAATGTAATTTATCTTGAACACAGAAGGAGAGTTGTTGCATATTTGTTCGTCCGATTCAATCTGCATAGCTAACATCGTTGAAGACACCGCAATTAAATTCGCGGCGAATACGTCGCGTAAATTTATCAAATCACAAAACATAAAATGTTGTTACGCCGATACGCAATTTCGGAGCGAACGAACTTGCAGATTGATAAAACGCGGCCGCGAGCGTTCGTAATTAAAGAAACATCCTACTGACGAGCTGCTCGTGTAAATACCCCTGCGGTCGCGCCCAGTGTCCGTCCGGTCTGCAGAGGGTGTGTCTTTCATGTGCAGGCTAGTCATTAACCACGACTGAGGGGACACATTCCGCGCTGTCCTAGAGGGATAAAGTTAAGTTCGCATTTTGCTAGCAAAGTAATGGCAGCCGTGCGCGATACATACGAACCGTGTTTGCCTTGTCCTCGGATGATAAAGCCGTTTAAAGGTTTTACTC